TTAAAGAAGGAGAATCCCAGGACAGCATGATAAATCTAAAAAATGTTATAGGTCCTTGGGAAGCAGAGGCCTGCCAGAAGAGTGAAGGGAAATGTCTTGACTCTTCATGGATTAGATATGAGTCATTTGTCAGGCTAAAAATAACCCCTATTTTCCATTTATGTTCTGTTAGCCTGAGTGCTTGCATGGGATCTAGGATCCTTTGTCTTTTTGCTGTGGTCAGGTGGTAGTCGTGTGCCTAATTTTCCTGATATTCCTAGAGAAATTCTGGTTGGGAGCATGAGCCACTTGACAACCCCCCTACTTTGAACTTTGATATAATTACAGAATTTCTGTTCTGGGCAAGTATATTCAAGTTGCTACAGCCATCAAGATCCCTTTGCATTTCTGGAGTTTCCTAAAACACACTCTTCAAGCTCACAAAAATTTATTTTTGTAGGAGCATGGGATAGTTTCAGAGATAGAAGAGACCTTTGAGGAGATCTAGTCCATTAATTTCCATATAGCTGCAGAAACTGGTATCTACAGAGGTTAAGTGACTTGCCCAAGGTCACACTATAGCAGGTAGCAGAGCTAAGATTTGAGCTCAGGTCCTCTAAGTCTAAAACCAGTACTCTTTTCCACCAAACTATGAGGAATTTTGCCAACTTACTGAGCACCAAAAACTCCAGTTATTCACATTAGGGCATTATTTAGAAAATGCTGCAATACATAATTTAAAATTTTGTTCAACATTTTAAAAACCATATCAGTTAACCATAGAAATAATTTGCACTGTGGGTCTTTTAAATTTTGTTCCTATGCACATTCTTATGTTCTTTGTGTTCCTATAGAACAGAGTGCTGTACTTAGAGAGGATACCCAGTAAAGGTTGGTTTTCTGATTGATTGATTGACTAAATGGATTACAAGTTCAGAAGGGGTGGAAAGAATATTGGTTAGGGAGTCAGGAGGCTTGGTTTCTTGTTTTGCCTTCTGCAGTTAACAATGAAAATAATAATGATGACACCTCACCTTTCTCTAGTGCTTGAAAGTTTACAAAACCACTTAACTCACCTAACCTTGTGAAGCTGCTGGTGTGAGTGCAGTCATCCCCATTTTACAAAGAAGGAAAATGAGGTTCAGAGAGATTAGGTGACTTGTCTAGTCACTCGTCACTAGACTCTAGGGTATCACGGCTAGTGCCAGAGTGGAGATTTCAAATTTAACTCTTTTCTGTGTAACTTTCACCAAAGTCGCTTATCTCTGTAGGCCTCAGTTTCCTCATATTCGTTCTAAGATCTCCTTTTTGAAGTGTTGTTGCCAAATTCGGAGAGTATGTAAATGAGTGGTCTCTGCCTTAGAGGTTCTAGAATATACTTTGCCTGCATCTTTATTTTTTTTTTCTTTCAAAAGATATCACTAGTCAATCATACAACAACACTATCAACAATGCCTGCTGCTTGCCATAAGTCATTTGAATCTGCTATGAGCAGCTAAGGAGAAGTTCACCAGTTCATAAATGGTCTTGAGAATTCAAAAGAGTGGGTGGAGATTCTATCCTTCTGGACTCTTTACTGTAAAGCAGTGAGTTTTAATTGGATTGATTCTCACTATTCCGTCATGCAGTTGTAATCTTTGTTCACACTCTGGGAAAATAAAACTAGATGAGAGGAAATGGACAATAATAGAAATCCTGTCTGAGCAGAACAAATTGGAATTAATAACAAGTGTGGCCTAGAACATGAGCAGCATGGGTGGGAGGGAAGGGGAGTGAATATAGTTATAATTTCAAGAAAATTTGTAATGATACCTCCTTTTGTACACTCCCTACCAAATTCAAATTTTCAAACATCTACTAAGATTTTTATTATGGAGTGATCTGATAGGTTCTGGGAGAAATCTATGATTTGGATAAGACAACAACTCTGCCCTGACAGAACTTACAGTCTAGTAGGAGGGAAGAGTAATGCAATAATCTAAATAACTGTTGTTCAAAACAGTTCATAGTAGATGCATGAAAGGTAAAAGTAAAGTGAGTTCTGAGGTAGTAAAAGCCACTAATAACTAAGGCGAGACAATGCCCAAAGGGCTGTAAAACTCTGCACACCCTTAGAATCAGCAGTACTGCTACTAGATCTGTATCCCAAAGAGATCAAAGAATAAGAAAAAGGACCCATATTTACAAAAAAAAAAATTTTATAGCATCTCTTTCCGTGGTGTAAAAGAATCGGAAATCAAGGGGATTCTCATCAGCTGGGGAATGGCTGAACAAGGTGTGGTACATTATGAACTCAACCATGAAATAGGGAAAGAATATTCATTAAATATTAGAAGAACCAGAGCAAGGTCTCCACTATGCTGGGTGGTTTTTCTATAGAAGATTTATAGGAAGACATAGACAAGAAATGCACAGTACAAGAAGGTATGGATCAGTCACGAATCTGCCCAAATGAAGAGAGCACTGGTTTCTATAAAAGCCTGGGTCCACTGGAATAAGTGGGACCACAATGATGCAAACATCTAATTAAGTGCATCCCATATAGTCAGCAATCAAAGAAGTTTGTTTTTTTCTTCTATCAATCAGTGGATCAAATGGCAAAATATCATCTGTTGAGAGTCCACTGTTTTCAAGGCACTGCGGGCAGAATGAGAAGGAGGGAGAAAAATGGTTCCTAGTCTCAGTTGGTTATGAGCTAGTGGAGATGACAGGAGAAACAAATGGAAAATACCAAGAACATATCTATATATCTATATCTCTCTATATATGTACATATATATGGATACATATATGTATATGTGTATATATACATATATACATATTTATTTATAAACTAAGTTATTATCAACATACATATATAACAACCCTGTGAGGAGGGTGCTAATATTATCTCCATTTTACAGATGAGAAAATTGAGTCAAACAAGGGTTAAATAACTTGCCTAAGGTTATATAGCTAGGAAGTGCGGGTTGTATTTGAACTCATGACTTCCTGACTCCAGGCCTGGCATTCTATCACTGAACCACTTAGCAGCAGATCTTTTTCTATATCCATATTCTTCTTTTCTTAGCTGGACCTATGATTTCATCAGTGTAGGCAGCTTCTGTGAGGGACTTCCTTTACTAATAGAGAGCAGTACTGTAGTTCCTAGCCGTAAGGAGTTGTCGAGCCAGGCATGCTGGGACACACCTGCAGTCCCTGCTCTACGGCAGGATGAAGCTGGTGGATCTCTTTAGCTTGGGAGTTTTGATCTGCCCTAGACTATGTCAATCAGGTGTTTGCACTAAGCCTAACTTTAGGGTGAAGGAGGGGAATGGGAGGTGACATCACTAGGGGCATACCTGCCCACTTCTGAAACAGAGCAGGTTAAGGCTCCTTGCTTTTCAGTATTGAGCTCTGTTGTGAGTAGCCCTTGCAGGTCCATCCTGGGTGAGATGCAGCGATGCAGTGTTAAAAAAATAAAAAGAGTTGTATATGCAAGTGTGGCTATTAAAGCTTCAGACTGCACTAAGCCTTCTGGGACATCATATACATGCATCTCTGTGTATATGACTGTATCTTCATACATGCATAATATATATGTGTATGCTGGAATTATTGTGTTGGTGGAAATCTGGTTGATTTTCCTGGAGGGGGTGAGTTTTGAGCAGAGGTTTAAAGTAGTAAAGGTCTTATGAAAAAGGAAATGCCCATTCCTATTTAAGTTTTTCTTCAGTTCCTGAAACTTTTGGCCTTCAACGCAACCCATTCCCCACCTTTTATGAAACAAACTTTCTCTTAAAAACAAATGATGTGGAACGAGTCATCTTTATAATGACTCTTCTTGGCCAGCTGAAGACAATGTTGGTTCATTCTCCCTGTGTGAATTGTCATAACCCTGTGCAGGAGAGCTTATTTCCAGGCTTCCAGTTTGTGGATAGATTGTAAGACCCTCATCCATATACATGCCTCCAATTAAAAGTTTCCTGCAGCTACCATGAGAGCTGTCTGTGCTATGGAGTGAGACTGAAAAGGGAAAAGTGGCATTCCACTGCATGCCCTCATGGGAGGAACGAGCTCTAGAAAGCCCTGCCCCGAATGGTGTTAGGGCTTTGGTGAAAAGACAAGGCTTTAAGGGGATCCCATTAGCCTGGTTGGGCCCCGCATTGACCCTCTGAGACAGTAGCTCAGGGGACTGAGTCCAAGTATTTATTTAAAAACAAAACAAACCCCCCAAAGGCGTGATAGTGGAGGGTTTATTAAACTTGCCTACATCTTCTGGGCTCTGGCTAATTGGAGAGAGAAGATGCCAAGGCAGCTGCAAAGGCTGAGGCTGTTTGTTTTAGAGAAGAGAAGGTGTTCCCACTCAAGCCAGAGCATACAGCCCAAGGAATTCCAGCTCTTGCCTAACATTTAAGATTGGACTAGGGTGTGGTGGAAGTGTGTGTGTGTGTGTGTGTGTGTGTGTGTGTGTGTGTGTGTGTGTG